CTCCAGGCTGCCTCACCGTCCCTTTCTTACCGTCACTGCCTCACCGTCCCCTTCTCACCACCGCTGCCTCACTGGCCCCGCTCTCACCACCGCTGCCTCACCGGCCCTGCTCTCACCACCGCTGCCTCACCGGTCCACTCTCACCGTCACTGCCTCACCGAATCCGCTCTCACCGTCACTGCCTCACCGTCCCCGCTCTCACCGTCCCCGCTCTCACCGTCCCCGCTCTCACCGTCACTGCCTCACCGTCACTGCCTCACCATCCCCACTCTCACCACCACTGCCTCACCGTCCCCTCTCTCACCGTCACTGCCTCACCGTCCCCGCCTCACCGTCCCCACTCTCACCGTCACTGCCTCACCATCCCCACTCTCACCACCACTGCCTCACCGTCCTCGCTCTCACCGTCACTGCCTCACGGGCCCCACTCTCACTGCCACTGCCCCACCATCCCTGCTCTCACCGTCACTGCCTCACCGGCCCTGCTCTCACCATCACTGCCTCACCGGCCCATTCTTGATCCGCCACCATCGCTCTGGCCCACGCTCGATTTGCCGTCACTGCAGGACACAACCCACACGTTCAGCTCCCACCATGTGGTTCCTGGTCACGACCCAACTCCTTCCCAGCTCCTTAGGTAGGTAGTTGGAAGGGGTGGTGGCAGGGTGGGAGTGGGGTGGCGGTGGGGGTGGCGATAGAATTACTACAGAGGGAGAGAAAAAAAAGGACAAAGAAAGAAAGAGAAAGAGAACTGGCAAGCAGAGTGGAGCTCCAAACGGAGTGACTTACCTGGCCGCCATCTTGAACTCAGGGAAGCCAAACGTATCAAATTATGAAGGGAACAGATAGGATAGAAGCAGGCAGGTTGTTTCCACTGGCAGGTGAAACTAGAACTAGGGGCATAGCCTCAAAATAAGCGGGGAGCAGATTTAGGACTGAGGTCAGGAGGAACTTCTTCACCCAATGGATTGTGAATCTGTGGAATTCCCTGCCCAGTGAAGCAGTTGAGGCTATCTCGTTGAATGCTTTTAAGGCAAAGATAGACAGATTTTTGAACAGGAAAGGAATTAAGGGTTATGGTGAGCAGGCGGGTAAGTGGAGCTGAGTCCACGAAAAGATCAGCCATGATCTTACTGAATAGTGGAGCAGGCTCGATGGGCCGCATGGCCTACTCCTGCTCCTACTTATGTTCCTGTGTTCTCAGAAGCAGTGTGGCACTTTTTTGACCAGACCACCTTTGCCTGTTTTTTGCAATAAATCCGTTAGAGGTGTTATCGTTATTCTAAAGGCTTGCACAAATTTCCGCTAGGAGCCACACATCCCTCAAAACCTCATGAATTCCTATTTCGTTTTTGGAATGAGAAATTCTATCAAAGCCTTTACTTTCACTGTTCTTGGCAGCGCTCGCGTTACAACGTGTCCTGGGTAAGTTATCATCACTTTCACAAACTCACTTTTGGTATGATTTTTGACTAAGTCAGCTGACTAACTTTAAATAAGACTTCCAATTGTTTTAGATGTTAGTGTATTCACTATGTCACTTAATCACATCTCTGGTGTCGGCTTAGTTCATAAATCGTTGGAAAGTAGTTGGAGTGTTTTTAAACCCAAATGGCATTGACTCAACTGTTGGATGTAACAGATGCTGATGTCTTTTCAAGCTGCCAATAGCACTTGCCTATAGCTCTTCAGGGAATAATCCTAGTAAGGGATGAGTCATGACCTACCCTATTGATACAATCTTCAGACCAAGAAACTGGGCTCAAATCTGCTTTTGTCAGTGCGTTTACTTTTCTGTGATCTATACAGAATCTAGTTGACCCATCAGGTTTAGGAACTAATGGCCACAGAAGAATTCTAGCCGCTAGGATCAATCAAGTGACTTTTTTTTAACGTGTATTGAATCTCTGTAACAATTAAGCTTGTTTTCTGTGCTTAAACAATATAGGCAGTTGTTTTATTGGTACTGATTCCCCTACATCCACATCATGAGGTTGCATACCCTGGTGCATCTTGGCAGATTTCCTTGTACCACATAAGTAACCTTATTAGATCTTTCCCTTGCCTTTCCTCTAAGTACAAGATTGTGTTATGTCACTGCCCCAGTATTTCAGTATTGGCTAATCTGATTGTGGGTCCATTTTGTGAATTGTCCACATTTCCTTCTATCTCACTCTTACTGGCCCCGTTACCCTCCACTATTCTTATGATCGGCCATATTTGCTCTTTACTTTCCTTTCTCAATAATCTCTGCTTTTCCTTGTTGTATTCCTGTTTGCTTTTTCTTTCAGTTTTAACTTGTCCCTTACCTCTTCAAACAATAGCACTTTCCCACTGATTTTGTCAATATCCCTTTACAGTTTTTGCTTCCACCTCTATTGACTGTTGTACTGTCCAAATTTACCAAACTTAGTTATATAAATCTCTATTTCTTCATCTGACTCATTGATACCCATACTGACAAGCCCAAAGACAGGTTCCTGAGGCATACCCTGAGTCAATTTTACTCTGTCAGAAGGATTATCTTTGCCTTCCATCTCCTGCCTTATCATCAATACCCCATCTGTGTCAACAGACTTGGTTCGAACTTTCAATTTTGCTAATTTTTTTCTGTATGACCCTGTTGAATATCTTCTCGAAAACCACAGAGGGAATTGCCCCGAGGGATGGGTGATAAAAATGCTGGCCCAGCTGGTGATGTGCACAGCCCGTGAACTGATTATTTAAAATACGCTCCGCTGATCCACAACATTCATTGCTTTCTTTAAGAATTGAGCTAGGTTTGTTAGTCATGACGTACCCTTTACAAATTCACGCTAGCTCACTCTGGTTCCCGTAACGTTCCTACACTTAACATTCAGCTAACAGGTATACCATTGAGGATGGTTGGCTCGCCGAGCTGGTTTGTTGTTTCGTAGACGTTTCGTTACCATGCTGGGTAACATCCTCAGTGCAGCCTCTCATGAAGTGTCGGTGTGTTTTCCTGCCTGGTTTTTAAACTCTGGGGTCCCTGGCGATGGATTGCCTAACTTCCGGGTTTCCTCCGTAGTGGAATGTATATGGGGTCGAGTTCAATGTGTTTATTAATAGCCTGTTTCGTGGAGTGCCATGCTTCTAGGAATTCTCATGCTTGTCTCTGCCTAGCCTGTCCCAGGATCTTGGTGTTGTCCCAGTCGAAGTCGTGGTTCTCCTTGTCCATGTGGATTGAGATTAGTGAGTGAGAGGAATACCTCTTCCAAGTGTTCAAGGATAATGGATATCCAAAGAACTGGGTCAGGAGATGCCTACAGGAACAGCATCAGAAAGATTCTACATGCCCCGACACACTCATCACACTACCCTACATCAGGAACACGTCGGAACTCACCACAAGACTCCTACGACCGCTGGGCATCAGAGTGGCACACAAACCCACATCAACCCTACGACAAGTGCTCACCCGAAATAAAGATCCACTCCCCGCCATGGACAGGACCAATGTCATCTACAAGATCCCCTGCAGAGACTGCGAGAAACACTACATCGGACAAACAGGAAGGAAACTAACAACAAGAGTACATGAACACCAACTGGCTACAAAAAGACACGACCAATACTCCCTCATCTCAATCCACATGGACAGGGAGAACCACCACTTCAACTGGGACAACACCAAGATCCTGGGACAGGCTAGGCAGAGACAAGCACAAGAATTCCTGAAAGTATGGCACGCCACGAAGCAGGCTATTAATAAACACATTGAACTCGACCCCATATACATTCCACTACGGAGGAAACCCGGAAGTGAGGCAATCCATCACCAGGGACCCCAGAGTTTAAAAACCAGGCGGGAAAACACACTGACGCTTCATGAGAGGCTGCACTGAGGATGTTACCAAGCATGGTAACGAAACGTCTGCGGAACAACAAACCAGCTCGGCGAGCCAACCAACCTCAACACCCACAACCCGAGCTACAGATCTACTCCAAAACCTTAGGTATATCATTTCCTGGTTTACCTCTCATCATAAATAATGCATGATCTTGGCAGTTTTCCAACCCCAGGGACAGTTCCTGAATCAGAACAGCTTTGGGAAAAAAAATCCTCCCTTGTTGCTATCTAGGATCATCTGATTCTGATCAATCTTCAGTTTCAATATTCTCTTTCAATAGTTTCTTTGTTCTAATCTTCAATTGCCAAGACTGTTACAAAGTAATCATTTATCAAGACTTCATCGATTTCTTCATCATCAATTAAAATATTAATCTGTAATTAAGGGGCCCACATTATCCTGAGTGGTCATCTTTCCCTTTGTATCCTTGTAAAACTTACTACGTCTTTTATAACCCTCTTATCAATTTATCTTTCAGTTCTGACTATCGTACTCATAAACCTTTGCTGCTCTTCCTGACCAGGGTTTGGTGTCTTGGTTCAGGATCCTGACACAAATCAAATGCAGGTTCTGAACTGGCATTATATTGGCAATTCTCAACCCATGTGACTTTGCCTCGACCAGCTAACTAGTGGCAAGAGGACATGCTCACCATCTAGTTAAGGAGGGAAGGTAAACTCTTAAGGCCGGAGGGGGCCAATAAGAATCTCTATATCACCAGGGACCCCAGAGTTTAAAAACCAGGCGGGAAAACACACTGACGCTTCATGAGAAGCCTAGCATTGCAGGTAAGGGGAGAGAGAGAGACTATCTTCGATGTGAGCTATAAAAACATCTGACGTCAGAAATGACCACGGCAACGGGGTGTGGAAAGGAAGACCCTTCACAGAACGGAGAAAGGGGAGGAGGAGTGAGGGGGAAAAGTTCTGTCCTATATCTCCTTGGACATTTCTGATTTCTTGCCCATTTGTGTCAGCCTTTTTCCTCCAGTTTTATACCACCCCTCACCCCTTTTATGGAACCAAGTTGTTCATTATTTAATGGAAAGGTAGAAATGGTCTGTCCACCAGTAGGACTCGCCTTGGGAGAGACAGTTGTTGTGGTTGTCGTTCTAATTTTAATGATGTGATGATCGTTACAAACAGGAGAGCTGAACTATCCAGTGAGGCAGGATTCTCCAGCAATTATTTACCTTCTCTTCAGAGCCAGGAAAATGAGGAATCACAGCAAAAGGAAGTGACAACAGTCAACACTCAGACAATCTGGATTTCATGGAACACCCCAGGCCATTCGGAGACAGGTGAGTCAGCCTGTGCTGCATTTTGATGTTGCCTGTTTCGTAGGCGTGACCTTTCAATGGATTTTAATTTGCTCAGGGGTTTGAGTTAATCTTAATTATAGTGATGTTTTACGTCCTTGGGAGCAAAGGAACGGACAAAATGTGTCACATTTTCAGTGGAATGTCGCAAGGGAGTGTTTATGAAGTTCTCCGACCTTTATCCTCTATTCCGCAACCCCCCCCCTTCGCGCATGCTCCCCATCACTACCACTGTCCTAGACCCGAACTTGCATCTTTTTCCTAATTTCTCAAGAGTTTGTCCTGTCTTGTGTAGACGAGACCCACCTCTTTCTCCCTTGATCTTATTCGCATTGAAGTGCTGATCATCCAACTTCCTCCCTTAGCCTCCCATTGTGTAAATAGTTCTCTCTCTCTCTCTTTCTCTCTCTCCCTCTCTCTTTCTCTCTCTCTCTCTCTCTCTCGGTGTTGTCCCTCTCCCCTTTCAATCTACCACCATTGCCCACTGCTCAAAGAAAACCGATGCCTGAACCCACGGTCTTGACGGGACCCCATCCCATCTCCAACCTTCCTCCAAAGTCCTCGGGCACGCTTTAGCCCACCATTGCCATTTTTTCCAGAGCTCCATGCTTGAATCCCTCCAGCTTGTTTCCGCCAAAGCCACTTCATCGAAAGAACTTTTATTAAAGTCACAAATGGCGTCTTGTGTGGATGGTGATAAAGGCAAAGTCTCCCACCTCAACATTCTCAACCTGTCTTCAGCCCTTTTTCAATTCCCATTTGTAGCCAGAATACCACTGGCTCTGATTTCTGTACCTGCATCATCCCCCCTTACCTCTTATTCCCCTTCCCTCATTGAAATGTTGCTCTTCAGCCTAATCATTTGAAGGTACAGGGTTAATGTTAGATACAAACAGCGACCGCACTCTACCTCCCCACCACCTCCCTCGATTCCTCCTCTTTCTGTAAATTACCAGGGTGCTTATTCAACATCCAGTACCAGATGAACACAAATTTCCTCCAACTAAATATGGGGATGTCTATTGTTTTCAGTGCCTGTTCCAAACTCTGTTCAGCCACTACTAACTCCTTCCCTCTCTCTAGCAACGCTCTGAGATAGCCTGTTTGTAACGTTGGTGTCATGTTTGACTGGAAGACGAGTTTCTGATGTGGTATATGGGCCGGCACTAAGGCTGCCTGTTGAGTCCTTCACCAGAGCTCGCTGCCGCCTCAGTTTATCTGAAATTCTCATTTGTACCTTCTTACCTCCCAGATCTGAGTTTCCCAACGTACTCCCCCTGTTCTACCCTTCGTAAATTTCAGGTCATCAGAAACTCCCCTGCCTGAGTCTTAATTCACAGCAAGTCCCGTTCCCCTGTCACTCCTGTGCCTGTGGTTCTACATTCCCATTCCCATTCCTGTTCCATGATTTTAAACTCCTCATCCTTGTTTACAAATCCCTCCATATTTTCAACTCTCCACCCCCATCTCATCCACCTCCTCCATTCTCTCACAAACCTCTGAGGTAGCTGCACTCTCGCTCTAACTCTGGCCTCGTTTGCTTGTTCATTTTTATTTGCTACACCATTGAGGGCTGTGCCTTTAGACCTCCGGCTCTGGAGCATCCACTCTGCGACTCTCCAGCTCACTTCCTTCCTTTACGACGCTCCTGAAATCCCTCCCTCCTCGACCGAGCTTTTGTTCATTTGGCCTTGCAAGTCCCCTCTGCGTCGCGCTTCAGAATGCTCCCGTGAATGCGCCTTGGAATGTTGGAGGTGCTACTAAGGTGTAATTTGTTGTTGTAGAATTGGAAAACAAGGACAAGACAGTAACAGGTGATGTTCCAAGTGAAGCTTCTTTCACCCTTCTTCATTTAATCCCAATGATATATCCTTCTGGACCTTCCAGGCACCGTAATTCTTGGGACTACTCATCACATCCTCTCCATTTTGGAATGGGTTGCCAGATCAGGATGAAAGGTCCCAACTTGAACCGTTGACTCCGTTGGTCTCTGTGCTGAAAGCTGAATGGGCCTTGCCATGTTGTTTCCAGCAGCCTCGGGGCATCCGCTAACAATCCGTTTCTCCCCTTACAGAACTTGTGACAGGATTTCTGGAAGAGGCGGAGGCGGAGGCAGAGGCGGAGGAGGAGGAGTCACCAGAGATTTTTAGTACCTCTAAGGACGTGGATGTTACTCCCGAGGTACAGAGGCAAGCCATGACACTTGCACTTCAATAACCCAATGCTTCCACCAGGTTCAGATTGGGGCCCGGTGTCTGGGTACTTTCTGGGAGTTTGCCAAGTACAATTACGCAATTGCTTTCCTGTCCAGCAAAGTAACAACCCCCTCTCTCTCTCCCCCTTTAGTTGTTAGGTTTCTGGGTTTATCAATCGGGGATCAATTTGGGTTCATTTTCCTTTTCCATTTGAGTTTAAAGCAGATGAAGGGCGCTCCTTCTCAAACGGACCAGGATCCTGGTTGTTCGGGTAACCTTGAACTCAGGTCACAGTCATGTCTCCAGGGCGGCAGTGCCCCTTGGAAAGGCGTGTTCCTGTCATCTCCAGAGGCTGGCACCAGCACCAATGGCCACTGGCATCAGAGCCTATAATCGGAAAACCTGCGGGGCTGAGAACTGTCCTTGCTCATTCTGATAGGAGGTGTGAGGTGATCACTGGCAGTACATAAGAACATAAGAACTAGGAGCAACAGTAGGCCATCTGGCACCATCGAGCCTGCTCCCCCATTTAAATAAGATCTTGGCTGATCTTCACATGGACTCAGCTCCGCTTACACACCAGCTCACCACAACCCTTAATTCCTTTCCTGTTCAAAAGTCCATCTATCTTTGCCTTAAAAGAATTCAACAAAGTAGCCTCAAAGGCCTAACCGGGCAGGGAATCCACCGACTCTCAACCTTTGGGTGAAGAAGTTCATCCTCAGCTCAGTCCTAAATCTGCTCCCCCTTATTTTGAGGCTATGACCCCTAGTTCTAGTTTCAGCTGCCAGTGGGAACAACCTCTAGTCCCTTCATAATTTCATATGTTTCTATATGATTCCCCCCTCATTCTTCTAAATTCCAACAAGTATAGTCCCAATCTACCCAATATCTCCTCATAAGCCAACCCTCTCGACTTCAGAATCAACCTTGTGATCCTCAGATCATTCTCAGATCTTGCTTTCCAAGGGAACTGAAGGTCCACAGTCAAATGAGAAAACCTCAAGTGAGTGAGGTGGGCAGTGTTTAGTATTGCTGCTTCATTACCAGCAGGCCCAGTTCCAGAGAGAAGGCCCCTAAGCTCTCATACATACCATCACAAGGGGACGTGCAGAGCATCGCCACTGGACGTTCCTCCCTGCTGGAGAGTTTACCAAATGTAAAAGATGGTTTCCCTCGCAAAGTATTTGAAACTGCGGTCAAATTCCTGATTGCTTTGGTTTGAGAGTTTCGTGGTGCTTGAGGGTAGAGGTTCTGGTTATTGAGCACCTGACCGTTGAGACTAATGCACTCCGTCTCTGGTGAACGACAAAACGAAAATGATAAGGAACTTTCGTGCAGGGATTTTAAACCAAAAATCAAGAGATGACAAGAACGATGTAAACATACATAAATAATACACTTGGTTCTTGCTTTCTCTATCCCTTTGTTAAATGGTGCACTCTAGGAAAAGCAGACACCGAGTCAGAGGCCTGAGATGGAAGATCACGTGACTGAAGCCTTGGAATCTGAAGATGTAAGCAGATTTTCTTATTAGTTGAAAGTTGACTTCTCCTTTATGTCACAGGTGTCTTCAATCCTTCCGATCTGTTTTAACTTGGTTCTTTCTGTACTTGATGTTTTACTTTTCTGACTGGGTTCCAGGTAGTTTAATTTCTTTTTTGAGAGATATTTCTGGAGAGATCATCCCCTTCCGTCATGTTTTTGCCCCCTGACAGACGGTGGGGAAGGTGTGGGGGTAAATCTACTCCCTCCTTTGGTAGGCCCGCGGTGGTGTCAGAGATGGACTCGCTGGGACTGTCGGAGATGTTCTCTGGGGCATTGGCATCATTCTTACGCTCCCTAACCCTCACCTCCTCATCCCCTCAGTCAACCTTCAAATGATGCCCAGAGTTCAGTTCGCCTTTACATGGCCCTTGTTAGTTGCGGAGATGTATATTGTGATTCATTTCGAGAGGAGGACTGAGAGAAGTTGATAGAAAGTTCTAAAGGGTTTCAGGAACTTAAGATACCTAGAGGTATCCGTACACAAATCATAAATGTGGAGACGAGTTGTGAAAACGCTTAAAAAGGCATAAGAAATTCCTGATCTTTAAAAACAAGCCGTAGAGCAGAAACATTCTGATAATCTTGTCAAAAACAGCAGCTCAGCCTGAACTGAAGTATTGCACCTAGTTCCTGAGCATCATACTTTAGGAACGTGTTCGGCAGAATGCAAAAATTATTCCTGAGAGTGGTTCCGGAGATGAGGAACCTCCTGGAGAAATTGGAGAAACTGGTCCTTGGGAAAGACAACGTTGAGAGGAGATTTGATCAAATTGCCTGGACAGAGTAGATAGTGAGAAACTGTTCACTTTGGCAAAGCAAGCAAGTGTGACGATTTTTTACGCAGCAAGCAATTAGGATCTAGAGTGCACTGCCTGAAAGTGTGGTCAAGACTCAATCAATTGTGGCCTTCAAAAGAGAATTGGGTCATTACCTGAACTGAAAAAATAAATGTCAGTGCTACAGAGCAAGGACGGGAGAATAGGCTAAGTGAGTTGCTGTTGCAGAGGGCCAGCACAGGTACAATGGGCTGAATGGCCTCCTGCAACCTTTCTGCTTTTATATGAGCCATCCAACTTGCATTCTGTTTGTACTCAACAATACAGACACCTCCTCCTCCTCTGTGTGCAGTTCTGGTCATCCTGTTATAAGAAGGATATTATTAAGCTGGAGAGAGTTTAGAAGAGATTTACCAGGATGTTGCCAGGGATGGAGGGTTTGAGCAATAAGGAGAGGCTGGATAGGCTGGGACTTTTTTCACTGGAGCTTTGGAGGTTGAGGGGTGACCTTATAGAGGTTTATAAAATCATGAGGGATATAGATAAGGTGAGGGATTCCAAGACAAGGGGGACATATTTTTAAGGTGAGAGGAGACGGATTTTAAAAAAGACGAGGGGCAATTTTTTTATGCAGAGAGTGGTTCGTGTGTGGAATGAATTTCCAGAGGAAGTGGTGGATGCGGGTACAGTTACAACATTCAAAAGACATTTAGATAAGTTCATGAATAGGAAAGGTTTGGAGGAACATGGGCCAGGTGCAGGCAGATGTGACTAGTTTAGTTTGGAGTTATGTTCGATGTGGACTGTTGGACTGAAGCATCTGTTTCCATGCTGTATGACTCTATGGCAGTTCCTCACCAATATCAAACAGACGTAACTCCACCCACCGCCAGCGCAACTCTGCCCACCGCCGACGCCGGTGAAACTCCGCCCACCGCCAGCGCAACTCCGCCCACCGCTGATGCCGGTGCAACTCCGCCCACAGCCGACGCTGACGCAACTCCGCCCACAACCGACGCCGACGACGCTCCGCCCACTGCCTCCACAGCCAGCAGCTCCAGAGGAGACAGCAGCTCCCAGCCCTGCCGAGTCTTCACCATCCCCCCAGACCTACCCCTTACTGAGGACGAACAGTCAGTCCTCAGTAAAGGGCTCACCTTTGTCCCCCTCCACCCACAGATCAACGAATACCGGTCACGCTTGGACATAGAGCAGTTTTTCCGCCGCCTCCGCCTCCACGCTTACTTCTTCAACCGTGAACCTAACCCTCCCTCTACTGACACCTTCTCCCGCTTCCAACACACCCCCTCCTCCTGGACACCACTCCAAGGCCTCCTACCCTCCCTCGACCTCTTCATCTCCAACTGCCATCGAGACATCAATCGCCTCAACCTCTCCACCCCTCTCACCCACTCCAACCTCTCCCCCGCAGAACGTGCAGCCCTCCGGTCCCTCCGCTCCAATCCCAACTTCACCATAAAACCCGCGGACAAGGGAGGTGCAGTTGTAGTATGGCGCACTGACCTCTACATCGCCGAGGCCAGGCGCCAACTCTCCGACACCTCCTCCTACCGCCCCCTTGATCATGACCCCACCCCTGAGCACCAAACCATCATCTCCCAAACTATCCACAACCTCATCACCTCAGGTGACCTCCCACCCACGGCCTCCAACCTCATCGTTCCCAACCTCGCACTGCCCGCTTCTATCTCCTTCCCAAAATCCACAAACCTGACTGCCCTGGTCGACCCATTGTCTCCGCCTGCTCCTGCCCCACCGAACTGATCTCCAACTATCTGGACTCCATTTTCTCCCCCTTGGTCCAGGAACTCCCTACCTATGTCTGTGACACCACCCACGCCCTCCACCTCCTCCAGAACTTCCAATTCCCCGGTCCCCAACACCTCATCTTTACCATGGACGTCCAGTCCCTGTACACCTGCATTCCCCATGCAGATGGCCTTAAGGCCCTCCGCTTCTTCCTGTCCCGCAGGCCCGACCAGTCCCCCTCCACTGATACCCTCGTCCGCTTAGCCGAACTTGTCCTCACCCTCAACAACTTCTCTTTCAATTCCTCCCACTTCCTACAGACAAAGGGGGTAGCCATGGGTACCCGCATGGGCCCAAGCTACGCCTGCCTCTTTGTAGGTTACGTGGAACAATCCCTCTTCCGTACCTACACCGGCCCTAAACCCCACCTCTTCCTCCGTTACATTGATGACTGTATCGGCGCCGCCTCGTGCTCCCACGAGGAGCTCGAACAGTTCATCCACTTCACTAACACCTTCCAACCCAACCTTAAGTTTACCTGGACCATCTCTAACACCTCTCTCCCCTTCCTGGACCTCTCTGTCTCCATATCGGGCAACCACCTGAAACCCGATATTCATTTCAAGCCCACTGACTCCCACAGCTACCTAGAATACTCCTCCTCCCACCTACCTTCCTGCAAAAATGCCATCCCCTAATCCCAATTCCTTCGCCTCCGCCGCATCTGCTCCCAGGATGAGGCATTCCACTCCCGCACATCTCAGTTGTCCTCGTTTTTCAAGGACCGTAACTTCCCCCCATCAGTGGTCGAGAACGCCCTCGACCATGTCTCCCGCATTTCCCGCAACTCATCCCTCGCACCCCGTCCACGCAATAAAAACCAAAAAAGAATCCCCCTCGTCCTCACGTACCACCCCACCAACCTCCGGATCCAACGCATCATCCTCCAACACTTCCGCCATCTGCAATCCGACCCCACCACCAAAGACATCTTTCCTTCCCCACCCTTATCTACTTTCCGGAGGGACCACTCTCTCCGTGACTCCCTTGTCCGCTCCACACTCCCCTCGCTCCACCACACCCAGCACTTTTCCCTGCAACCGCAGGAAGTGCTACACCTGCCCCCATACCTCCTCCCTCACCCCCATCCCAGGCCCCAAGAAGACTTTCCACATCAAGCAGATGTTCACCTGCACATCTGCCAATGTGGTATACTGCATCCGCTGTACCCGGTGTGGCTTCCTCTACATCGGGGAAACCAAGCGGAGGCTCGGGGACCGCTTTGCAGAACACCTACGCTCGGTTCGCAATAAACAACTGCACCTCCCAGTCGCAAACCAT